AAAAAAAGAACGAGTTATTCCTTTTTTTTTTTTTTAACTCGAATAGAATAAAGAATCTAGATTTACTTATTTGTGAAATATTTTATCAAATATTAAAGATAGATAGATATTGGCTTGTTGTGGTTGATATCGACTCCGATGTTCCAAGACGATGTTGACACAGGAACATAGGAAAAAAGTTATTGAATAAAATATGAGACCTTGATGGGTTCAACAAGTATTAGAAATTGAATATGGATCTATTTCAAGTATTGGAGGGGACGGCGACCGTAAAACCCAAACTACTCTTAGTAGACACTTCTCTGTAGTAGACAATTATGTATACCCCATCAAAATTTAAATAACTTTTTACTATTAAGGGCTTCCGATTATTCCGGACGCTCACTATAATAAACGCAGACGTGCTTGATGCAAGTATTATGATTTAATTCGTAAGCTTAATTTGATATAATTAGCTTAATTTAATTTATAAGCTTTTCCATAGCTTAGAGCAGGAATATCAGTAAAAAAAAAAATATAGACAAATATATAAATAAACATATATATACATGTATTTGTAAATATTCCATTTTGTGTTGTTCGTTTCAAAATATTCATGTTGATTTTATATATTTATCAGTTTTATATAATTTTTATGCATGATATTAAGTTCCACCATTATTTTTTCTTTGTTAAATCGGCTCTACAATCGAAATTAAAAGTCTGCGCCTATGCTATCAACCAATTTCGGTTCCTGAAATTCTTTGAGTTTTTAAGGAAATTCCTGGTTTGTTATACACACACAATAATAAATCAATGCATACCGGATACTTTTGCTACTTTTTTAATATACTCATATTTATTTTGACAGTAAAAACAATAAGGAAAACCGACAAAAATCGTAAATATCTGATGGCATAGTGCTTTTTTGGTCCACAAGCTTTGTTTTATGTTGTCACTGTGTTGACTGGTTGAGTTCAAACACAGAAAAGCTTGAGCAAGTAAAGCACAACTATACTTTTAATTTTAAACGCTCTTGATAGCTATGAATCGGATTATATGTAAACGAGGCTTGACAGGAATTGATTGCAGACAAATGAGTATTGCATGTCTACAACAACAATCAATATTGAAAAACATAATGACAAATTTATATGATTTTTTTTTTAAAATGAAACTAGTAAGAGTTTAAGTTATTTTAGTCTGGTATTGGACCACTCAAAATATTGGTGGAACGGATTTCAAACATCTCTACCAAAGATATCGAAGCCTTTGAAATAGAAGGTGGGTTTTAAACGTAATTAACGTTTGAGTTAAATTAGATGTCCAAATAAAAACACTGACTCTTTATTATTGGCTATGCATCTGCAGTTGAACAAAATACGTTTGACTACATTCAACTACAGTAGCATATAAAATACGTTATTTGATCAAATAGTAAAACCAATGCTTTCTGGAAAATTAAAATATTTGGTGTATCTTCTCACACGACTTACATTTTGTTTCAGATGAACCGTTCCACATACTGTTCCTGGTTTCTTTGCTGGAATTAGTCTGGTTATTTTCAATACGTCGTGTATTTGCTAATAATCGTCTGATATTGATAATTTTTTTTTTGTTAGGAAATTAAATTATTTGTCGATTGACTTTAGGTATAGTGAAGAGAAGAATAGTTGGGATGATCAGTCAAATAAGAAGGCAAAAATAAATGATAATATTTATTTTGACATTTGCCGATGTTTCGACCTGAAGTTCAGGCCATTAGGGCTGACTCCAAAATTGTAGCGGAGAAATTTGGAGTCAGCCCAGATGATGGCCTGAACTTCAGGTCGAAACGTCGGCAAATGTCAAAATAAATATTATCATTTATTTTTGCCTTCTTATTTGACTGATCACACCAACTATTCTTCTCTTCATTATTCACGACAGTCAACCATTTACCCACAATTATGACTTTAGGTACAGCTGACCACATTTGAATGGATTTATGTTTTTAGAGATATATGACAATAAAATAATTTTTCGTCATACTTTTTTTTTTTTTTTTTTTGAGCATTTACTTTATTATATGTTACAGTGGAAGAATTTAGGCATTTTACATATACTGAAGATTTGTCTTGAAAAAAATAATGTATGAAGGTGTAGCCCAAACGTAATTTAAGAGGATATTAATAGAGCTCTGCCGTAGGCCCATTAAATCTAACATAGACCAATTATTTTAGTCATACGAATATTAGAAAATATTTGCGAATATAATGTAGATCTATATAAATAATAAATTTCTAATAAATACTTAGGAAATAAAAATAATGTTGATTAGATTGACAAGAATGACACTACAAGTGAAGTACTGTACGACAAGTTTGGAAACATGGACAGTTTGGGGTATAAAGATTCCTTGTACCCAGTTCTTTTCTAACTAGCCTAGCAATAGGCTCTATTTCTAGCAGGTTCTTATAACATTATGCACATGACCTGAAAATATAGGTATGATGACGAGCAGCGCTAGTGGGGACGTCTGAGGAATTTGAAAAGAAAATTTGAACTTAGACGGTTACGTAAAATCCGTCAAAAAAGAATGGAAGACACTGTCGATCCCGAAAGCCACTATTTCAAAACGGCAAGCCAGTCTAAGAACTTGGCAGCTCTTATAAAGGAAAGAGATTTAGAGGAAATTAAGGAAAGAGTAGCTGCCGGGAACAGGCTTATTCGTTCTTCAAAGGCCATTGAAGTCTAGAGCCCTGATCAACAGACCTAATGTCAACATTCAGTAAACATCATCAAATCTAAGGTGAGACTTAGGCGCTGAGAATAATAAATTGAGTGATAGTGAAAATAACGAGCCGCCATATATTTTTTGGGGCTCCAGGTTTGTTGTTCTTCTATAGGAAGAAACAGCTGAGGAAGATATGAGAAATAGAGCGGATATTTTTGGGTGGGAAACAGGAAAAAGAATGAAAGAAAAATATGGAAAGGTGTTAGGTAGAATGAAGTCAGGAGTAATATAGTGGCCCAGGCACTTCTAGTGCTGTAACGCCGAGGGTAGTAAGTAGGTAATATATATGAAAAGTAAAATGGGCTCCCAAAAGTAGACTTCCGTCATGCTTCATTAAAATATTTAAGACCCGTTTTAAAAAAAAAAGTAAAGTAGTTTTTAATCCTGCCGTGCAGGGTTTACCGACGTACAAGTATTACAAACCGGAGATCTAGATAAAAATAATTCTGGAAGCGATTTATTATATTGAAATATCTTTAGATACTCATGAACAAATTAAGATATGATTTTACTATGTTAAACAGATCCATTGACTATGCCTTCATTTGGATAATAATTAAAATCTTTTTAAAAGGCTCAAACTACAAGAAACGGCCCTTCGTTTCCGATTACTCTAACAATTACCTGATAAAAACTATTTATTACCAATTAACTATGAGAACATCTGTCAAGCTATATTCAACAAGATCTAAAAGGCTTATAATGCCCATAGAAAAAAAAAAATGAAATACTATAGAGTATATTATATCTGAATATCAGATTAACAACGGCGTCGCTGCAACATTTTAGAGGGAGACCAAAATATCAAATTTCCCAACTAACTCAATTGTTAGAACAATAACAAAATAGTTGTACTAACATTTACAAACAATTCCAATATAGTTGGAATATTATGATTATAACAATATAATAATTGGAATAAAATTTCACTACTTCAGCGGCTCGTATCATAAAACGTTCACAGCAAAATCAACATATGGAACAAAATTTTCCGAGGCCTGAATTACAAAAAAAGAACTTTTATTTTTGCGATAATAGTCATCTAAGGAACAAGCGTATTTTATTTCCCAGCTTTCTTATTAACCCATATTCTCTTCGTTGCCGCACTCGTCTCTTTTTCCTTTTTCGCTCTTCAGTCCAGTTCAATTTTTTTTGGACAACATAACTTCACAAAAATCAATCAATCGATCGATCATAACATGAAAGAAGCTTTGAATAAAAACTGCATTTAATTGGTAAAGAAATATTTGTTTTTTTGTCTATAAAATATGTATTTGCGCCTGTCAACAATAAGTTAACAATAAGCAAATTTGATGGCGATAATGATATAATGACATGACAGGCATGGAGAAGAAAAGTACTCATCAGTACCTCTTCCCTAACTTGTTCAAATTACTTAGGTTATCTAAGGAAGGAGATCCCTCATCCAACGCCTTTTTAGTCTCCTCCTCATGTTCTGAGGTATGTCAGCTGTGGCCTTGTCTCTTATAAGTCTGTTATTATGTCCATTTAAATTTGTGTAAAATCGTTGATATAGGGTCGTTATATGTTGGTCAACTGTTGGAAAGTGGAGCTCAGTATTTAGAGTTTTGTTAGTCACGTACCAAGGTGCTTTTGTTATGAGTCGCAATAATTTTGATTGGAACGTTGGAAGTTTTTGTAGGTGGGTCTTTTTAGCGATGCCGTATATTTGTGATGTGTACATTGCACTGTTCTATTTAGGGTCCCTTACACGGTCATTATTGAGTCAATATTGAATATTGAATGTTTGAAGTAGATATTGTGAGAATTATATTGACATTTAAATTATGTATACCACGTTCAAGAATATTAATTCAATAGCATTGACAGTGTAAGGTGTGCTTTTAGGCAGTTAAATCTTTACAGCAATAAATTTATGGGTAACTTTTTGGATTAAAAATACATATAACAGGGGGGGGGGGGTTGACCATGCCATCTGCCCTCCTCTTCGTAGTGGGTATTCCTGTCTACAGGAAAAAATAAAAGCTATCCTAAATTTGTTTTAAGGAAAGAGCGACTCCTCGAGCTTTATGTAATAATTATCATTCTACGGCATTACTTCTATTTTTGGATATCCCTCATCTTTTTGCAATTAACTAAAATGCCAGAAGTGATGTAAGAAGCTGTTCTGTTTGTTTTAGAATGAAAAGAAGACGAACGCCAAGGTCTCGGCAGCAACACCTGCCGCTGGAGAAGAAAAAAAAACCGACCTCCATGCGGAGCCGAACGGCTTCGGCAACTCTCGCCTGTTCCCGAACAGGTGAGCACCACCCCCGTCAACCCCCGTAGCAGCCTCAGTTTGCCGCCAGTCACGATGCAGTACGGAGTGTTGTTGGTCGTTGTCCTCTACGTCGGCGGAATCTGGGCTGACGATGTTGCCTCTCTCAGGGCGGACATCGAGCAGCTCAAGGTGACCAGAGAGCAGAACAAACAGCTCGCCCAGGAGTTAGCACAGCTCAGGTATTTTTTAAAATATATAATATTTAAAAAACATAAACAGTAATCTTTAAAAAAATATATAGAATTATAATCACATTTAAGAACCCAACAAACATAAAATTAAAAAGAAAATTATTTATGAATTTTTTTTCCCATACGAACTAGCTAAAAAAAAATTAAATTTTTTTGATTTTGAATAAAGAAAATTCATTCAATTACTTAGGGTAGATTTTAACATGAGTAGAAAAATTATTTCATTTTATGAACTGTATTATCATAATTTTAATTTTCTTTTATTTTTAATGAAATTATAATATCGACTTATTCCTGTAAATAATCACGCATTATATATATTCAACTAAAGTATGAACGGAGAATGAAAGTGTGAGTTCATGTGGTAAATGGCATGTCAGGAATGTGCACAGTTGATTTTAATTTAAAAGTTACTGAAAAAAATAGGATTTCCATTTAAAGATTTTTAGCCTTTTTTATTTTTCAGTATATTTTTGAAAATATAAATATATTTTTTATATAAGATTTTGTATCATTTCTAAAACTATTTCGCTACTGGTTTATCTATACCATGTTTCCTGATTGCTATAACTGCAATTGACAGCTATCTCACTACGAACTTTATTTTACAGTTTCTATTTAAAATACTTAGATGTTTAAGAAAGACACAGTCGGTAGAATTTTCGAAAAATGTATTTGTTTTATTCCAAGGGTTTCTGGGAGATGAGTTTCTATATGTCATATCCATGATAATATATTAATGTATTAATTATTAAAATCGTATGGTACAGTAACGTTTGTCATTGTTAATTTATTTTTCCTAATTTATAATCTGACTAATTTTTAAATTACTTGATATATTATTAACCAATAACAATACATTTATTAATCATTATTTCATTATTTTTAATTTTTATTATTGACTTCCATATCAAGGTTATTTCTTAAATCGTGCGTTAAATAAAATATTTATTTTTAAAACTTTATATCTGAATAATGCTATTAGAATGACAGCAGTACAAGTTTTTTTCAATCTGAAACCTTTTATTCCATGAATGAAAAAAATAAACATTTAAGTAAAATTTTTGTTTACATGACGGTAGAAGATCTTCTTTACCAAGGATATTTGAAGTAAGGTTACACCTAGCAATAGTCCTAGCAACAAAATTGCTAATAGTTGTGTTGTGAAAGCGAAAATATTTCTAAACGAACTAATTATTTTCTGAAAAACATGTTTACTATACTCAACAGTTTATTATTAATGTTTATGTATAAACTACAAAACTCAGCTGCACTATATATACGACTACTATTGTAATAATAATTACAATATTGCCTTGGAAATATATTTTCTATTATGACGACGTTATAAATAATATATTGCACATGGAACATACGTAGTCGTAATAAATGAAATGCTTACGCTTGTTAGAGTAAACTACGTAAGTAATCAATGAAATAATTATAGGTTACTAGAATAGTCTAACATATTGAATTATTTTACGACACACTGTCTTGGGGTTACAAAGATGCTGATAAGGAAGTGGCTGAATGATCAAGCGGGACTTTATCACATAAAAGGGGGTTTTACCCTGGAGAGTATTATGCTAGGTATTATCCTTTCGTAATTCAATATATATATATATATATATATATATATATATATATATATATATATATATATATATTATATATATATATATATATATATATATATATATATATATATATATATATATATATATATATGTCGTATATCTTCTCTATGATTAATTTGATTTCTTAATTGTTATTTATTATTTGTCTTTTGAAAATATAAGTTTGAATTGAAGTATAAATAAATAAAATGAGAGAACAGTATATTACATATATATTTCTTTTTATTTTCCTGAAGTGTTTCAATAATTTTAGAACTTTTCTGAAATTAACGAATTAGTAAAGAAGTTACAAGGATTAAAAATTTGTCAAGAATATCAGTCAAAATTTCCTTTATAAGTTAGCCGACGTTTCGTCCCAAACATGTGGGTCATCACCATAACTATGGTTTCGAATTATGAATGAGTGGAGTCCTCTTTCAAAATTCATTATACCCTTTTTCTTAGAAAATCTGGGTGGGTGTTGAGTATCAATATCAGAAGATTTTGAGGCACAATAACAACTGCCCGAAAAGAGCGGAAAACCTCTAGGCGAAATTTCCAATCCGATGGAATCTGGTTGACGAATTTTCCTCTGAATATTTGCTCAGCAAATTCCGTTAATCCTGGAATTTTAACTAATTACTTCCTCTATTTCATACAAAGACATTATCTCAAATATAGCACAGCATTATTTTACAAGCTCGTCTTATACTTTTGAGTTAATTGAAATAATTTCATACTCAAGTAGGTAGGCTTTGAAGTTGCTTTGAACAATGTAAGTTATTTACTGTTAATTAATACCGAAGTACCTGAGCGAAACGCGGTGTGGTCTCATTGTGAAGACCGTACTTCAAGTTAGAACTTGCTTCAAGTCCAAGTTTCCTTTAATTATATTAGTTTTAATCGTACCTCTTAAACTAACGAGTAACTCTGAGTTAACTTTCCGAGATTTTATTAAATTAACTATTTAGATTAATATTAAACTTATTCCATAATTTTCACGTCAACTCATAACGCGGATGTATTAGTGACTCGTGTGTACCTTTATTGAAAAAAAAAATCAAATTTATATGTTTCATGTTAAAAAATAAATAAGCTAAAACAACTAATTACAATAAATTTTATATATATTTAATGGATTTTTTCCGTTTAAAATCTACATTTCAAATAGTTTTTCAAGTTTATTTCTTATGTCTCACACCAGTATATGTAAAAATTAAAACAAAAGAAAAGATTTTTCGTCTTCAATTTCGGGTCATTTTTGTACCGAATAATATTAATAATATATTAATACAACTTAATTAATTATTAAACAGACTTAAGTAATTACTTAAACTAACATTTTTTTTTTAATTATCCATAAAGATTAACAACGGTAATTATAAGTAACAACGGTTTCATAAATTAGGATAGAAAAGCGGACAAGAAGAACAAAACGACAACTTTTAATAGAATAACATTTGAGCCTAAAAATAAGTAAATTGTGTTTAGTAAATAGTTAATGAATGAATGATACTGTACATCGCTCATAAACATTACGCAAGCAGCTTCATTAACTTAATATTCTAACAAGCGGTAGTAGCTTCAAATAATTGTCCAGTAATGATTGGATAATGTTTGCCAAGCATTAGTGGTTTCGAAGTACTTCTGGATACCATAAACTTTCAACCATGCTTGAAATGGCTGGATGATATTAATGATATTTTTTTTTGACAGTTATAAAAATTAAAAATTTATTTTTAATTGACATATAAATATATTTTTTACAATAATAAAAGTGAGTTCCTGCTGATTGGATTCAAATGTTCCATACAGCTCTAGAGATAAATTGATATTCGTGTCGATGTATTGCTACCCCAAACACACGTGACAAACCTGTCAAACAGGCCAACAGTTCGTATCAGTTACAAAACTACAGGATTTTGAATGATGCTGTTATACAATACACGAAACAGTATCAACGTTATGTCTACCCTTTTAATTAATTCTTCGGTCATATGTTATTAAAAATAAAATATTTGGAATCATTAATTCAATTGGATCGTTCGAACTCTGTTGATAAATGTTGAGCCCTGACATAAGAAATATCATAATTTAAGTATTTAACTGGATGTTTAAAATAAATCCCAGTACATCTCATCAAAGCACCTTTACCCTTCGTCGTAAACCTATGACCTCCTGTCCTACACCTATAATAATACCTCACTTATCTCTGTTGAACTTACCCGGTACCTTGGACTTCACTTGAACAACGTCTAACTTAGAACCTTCATACCACACTGAAACTACAAGAAACTACAACTACAACGCTCTAATCTTCCAGTAAATTTCAAAAGACTCATATACATGACTAGAATAAGACCTATTTGGACTTTCGGAGTTGAACTTTGGGGCTCCACTAACCCAGTGAATTCCTCTCGTATCCAATCCTTACAATCCAAAATCCTCAATGACCTTACTTTTTCACGAATAAAATCATCCATAACGATCTTGATGTTCGTTATATTTCTGAACTAGCCTAATCCTGGTACCTATCCTTCCATAAAAAACTTCCGAACTATCCAAACCCTCTCGTTTCTGAAATTGCTTCCTCTTCTATTCCTGATAACCCTCCGAGGCGTCTGAAAATGAGTAGGCCTCGGGACCTTCTAATATGCAACTATAATTGGAGTGCTACCAAAGAGTAGTTTCTGTTCATGTTGTACATGTCATGTTATTAATTTCAAATTCTCTTGTTGTATTTTTTATGTTATACGGTTGTAAGGTTCAATACATAAGGCTCAAAAAAATGTTTTTGCTGAAATTTATTTATGATACCATGTGGCTGTAAGGCAGAGCCGAACTCATTTGTTTACACACGTTTGGTTACACACCCGTAACCTCTGATAATCTCTGAAAAGAAGATGGCCTTAAGATCTCCTATTATAAATACATATTTAAAGTGTGACCAGTGGGTAGTTTCTCAACAAGTGGTTTCATGTTGTTATATTCTTGTTTTTACATTAACTGAGTGCATTTTTGTTTCTAATAGAGTTATAAATATCATAAATAATAATAAAAAATAAGTATTTGTTTTAAGTAGTTTAAATTAACAGTCAGAAAGGAGTAGTTTTAACTAGTGAACTGATTTGATTAAATTCTTGTAATTAACTAGTCAAGTCTTATCTGACATTCAATTACCATGATTTGGTCTCAGTTGAAAGATAAACTTTGAAATACGAAGGGTTTCCTCCAGAGACAATTTTTTTTTCTTCAACTTAATCTTATATAATTCATAAAATCTTGGCTTCCCCTAATGAAGAAGCCCGTTCCTCTAGGGTTAATCAGGGAAGATGTAGAGTTCCTCCGAAGGAGCTAACCACTTGTTAGATC